CTCCCTACCCAAAGACAGTGGCTCCTGAGCACAGACCAATGGCAGCAGGTCTACAAGCTCTTTGGTTGAATCCACTATTGGCCAGCGCAGCCTCATGGGGGCTTTAGTCCAAGGAGAGTGTTCAGGTCTAAGAACAAGAAGATTCAAGAATTGGGTCAACAAAAAAAGCAATACTAGAATTTGCATACTTGCCAAGGGACCAGAGATGGAAATCAGGAGCCGTGTATTGAATAAGAAATATGAACAGATGTGAAGAAGCCAGGAAGGAATTCTTAGCACCGAGAGGTGATGTGCTGCTCAGACAAAGCTAGCCCATCTTCAAATGAGTGAACCTGGAGAACACAAAGCCAAGGGGACCCAGATCCATGGACAAAAGACTGGCCCACGCTGCTGAGTGTCCTGCATGATGTAAATCCAGATGATTCTGGAAAGATCTACAGACATGGAACCACAACTTCTCAGGCCTCCAAAAGAAGTGGCATTCCCTGAGGTGCCCAGACCAGAGCATCACCTCCACAATCCAGGCTGAAATTTGTTTGTGGCTGAGAAATACAGTGTTATCTATACCAGGCAGCATACGGTGAGAAGGGAACAATGCCACCTGTTCCTGAATGAGTAAGGTGTGGACAGGAGAAAGGAAGGAAGAAGCAGAAGCAGTCAGAGCTGCACTGGCTTCAGGTCATGCCCAGCCAGCAGCCACATCAACCAGAGATTCCTTTTTCCCTGACGATTGCCCCCAGTTGAAAAGGCACCAGAATTCAGGAGACGGACAGCAAATCGAGTGACCGGTGAGTGAACATAATGCTGCCATCTCTTGTAAATCTAGCCTCTGTCTTGTGGTGTTTTCAAAATACCAGTAGGCTTGAGTGAATTTGCTTCTTGAATTAGTGGGGAAAAGGAACTCTAGCCCTGTATGGTCCTCAAGATTTCACACAGGCTAGGAGCAGACTATTTGTACACTCTTGATTTCCTAATTGATATTTCAATTAATTTGTAGTAACTCAAAGAGAAACTGGGGTGTCAAGGAACTATCAAGCCCACTTTATTTATTTAGATCAATTTTATTCAAAACATGTTTATTGTGTAGCTTCTCCAAGCTGGGCACAGGAATACATTGAAACAGAAGAATCCTAGTTCTGGTAGAGGATATATTTTTATGAGCAATTCAGTCCCCACAAATACCTGAGAAACAACAAGAAGTTAAGGAGTTGAGATATTTAAGAGGTGTGAGATGGACATATCTGGAAATATGTTTGTATCAAATGTAATTAGGAAATGACATATACCACGTTAAAGGCAGAAGTCATTTACTGAACATCTGCCAAACACCTGGCACAGCCAGGGCTGGGGACGGGGACACAGGGATGGTAGGGAGATGACATGCCACGGTCCTCTGTGAGTTCTTGGTCCTACTGAGCAGACAGATGGATCCACAACAAACTCTAATGTAAGGTGATACAATTGGGCCCTTCCTCTGAAAAATTTCTTCCTTCCTCCGAAAAATTTCTTCCTTCCTCCTCCACTTCTTCCCACACCTATTCCTATCAGTTCATTTCAAACCGGTTTCTGACTCTGCCCAGAGATGGGGGATGAGACCATTTCAGGTTATTTATCTGTATCCAGAAGGAGACTTGGTAATGACCCCACTCTCTAGATGACTCAGGAATAGATTTCAAACATGTGGTCTCATCAGGACCCTAATCCCTTTAAGAATCCAGTCTTCCACCTGGCCTGGTAACTGGTTTTTTGATATTTGCTTCTTGTTGCTTTGGAGATCATAACTGAGTGATGTGGCTGCCCCCAAGGCACCCCCAGTGGCTCCATGGCATTAGGGTGAGCTTCCAAGCAAGTGCAAGAGGTTTTCAGGGATGCAGTATGGGTGGGAGAAGGAGGAGAGGCAATGGTAAATCAAGCAAGTGAAAAAGGATATGCCAAAAGGCCTGAGATTCATGTAGGGAAAGGAGGATGACCTGTGATCCTGCTGGTGAGCAGACACAAGTCTGCCACCCTCCGGATGAGAGAGGTCCACTGCAGGGCAGAGGCATCTCAGTGGATGGCCTTGGGGCACATATTTAGGATGTCTGGCAACCCAGCAGGGAGAAGGGAGAGGCAAGCAAGGGAGCCTTGGGCACAAAACCCAACATAAAGGGGAAGCCTCAGCTGAAGGAGGCCAGAAGCTCAGTCTGAAATGTGATTGGGGAGGACTTGCAGAATAGGAGTAAAGACCAAGAAGATTCTCCCTGAGGAGATTCCTAAGCCCTGTAAAATCCATGTGAGCCAGCATCAGACAGTGGGTCTGAATGGACAGTTTTATGCAAATATACCTCCAGCCTCTAGCAGTTGAGTGCAGGGACAGGGCAATGGACTTGAGAGAGAGATCACTGGGAGAGCTTGGGGGCTCATTTTCCTCCCTAACCCTGAACTTCTCCCCTTGCAAAATGGGGGATTATCGAGGCTGCTCTGCCTATACCAGGAGTTTGGGGATTTCAAATTGAAGAGCCTGTGTGAAGGCACAATGTAAGTGGTGAAGGGATGGATATGCAAGCAATTCTGACTGTTTCTCTTCTCTTCCTCAGTAGACAAAGTGCTTTTAACAATGTCAGGGGGTGAGTTGACCTCCTTTTGTGACTTCTAGTCATTAAAATTGCCAAGGTTCTCAGGCTATTTTGAAAAAATGAGTGGGAAATATCAGAAAGGGAGACAGAACATGAAAGACTCCTAACTCTGGGAAATGAATTAGGGGTGGTGGAAGGGGAGGAGGGCGGGGGATGGGGGTGACTGGATGATGGGTACCGAGGTGGGCACTTGACGGGATGAGCACTGGGTGTTATTCTATATGTTGGCAAATTGAACACCAATAAAAAATAAATTTATGAATAATAAAAAAATAAATATGGTATAACCTTGATTTCTTGCACTTCCCTTTGAGGCAGAAATTCTCAGCAGTGATTCCACTAGCATAAACACTCTATCGTTTCCTTCAAGAAAAAGGAATCAAAACAATGGGGTGATTATGGTTCTGTCATCCTGCTGACACATTGGAGACCTGGCCTCTGTGAAGCAAGGTGGTTAGGAGCATAGTTGCTAGAGGTAGACCACCTAGATCTGAATCCTGGTTTCACCACCTACTAGCTGTGCGACCTTGGGCATGTTACATAACCTCTCTGAGCCGTGGTTTCTCACTCCAAAATGGGGATTATATGAGTTTATATACATTAATTTATCTATAACTTAGATGAGTGCCTGATTCATGGTAAAAGCTCGATGAATGTGAGCTTCAATGGTGGTGATGATGATAATGATGGTGATAATGATGGTGATGACGACGGTGGTGATGATGGATTGTTTGGTCTCCAGGGAAGCTTTTCACACCTCCCCAAACATAGTGATCCTTCCACCCAGCATTTCCTCTCAGGAACCCAAACCACTTCATACACACCACACACACACACACACACACACACACACACACATACACACACACACACAATGTCTCATCAAAGCTCCTCTTTTAGTTATAAATGACAGAGCACTGGATGTGAACTTAAGAAACACAAGTCAATTACCCTGAGGCCCCACTGACTCATTTCATGTCACCAGAAGAATCCCTCAACCACTCAATGACTCACCTTCTCTCTTTCTCCTTAAAAGGGAAAAACAATGCTTACCTACTGCCATGGTGCAAGACTAAATGGGTTTAGTTTATTATTAGACTGCTTTGAACTTGTTGGATGAAAGGAGATTTTTTAAGTACAAAGGAAGAGCCAAAGGTATTTGTGCCAGGTGCTAAATTAAGACTTAACAAGATTGTTCTTTCTTATTGGGACCTACCCTCAGAGATATGTCACCTGTATGCAAACACCTATACAACTGGGGGAAAATAGCAGAGGAACATTCCTCCAATGATGGGGAACTCACTGCTTCTCACCTTTGGCCAGCTCTGACTCAGCTTTCTGGAGATATGCTGTTCTTGGCCATGGCTGCCTAAATATGGAGCTTCTGGTTCATGTGTCTACTGCCTATAAGGTCCAAGCCAGACAGCTGCCAGGGGGCTTGCTAGTGAGGCCCACGAGGGAGCTTGGATGGGTCCATTTGGCCTTTTCTAGACTGATAGTCTGACAGGCTCAGCAACCACCATGATTTAATGTATTCAGTACTTCACAGCATGCAGAGGAAAGGCACTTTCTTGATCGATGAGGCATTCTTCACACATGGGATCTGTAAGAGACTTCGGTCATCTCCTTCTGCAGTGTATCTCGTCTATAAGAGGCTCAATCCCCAAATAAACCCCCTAACCCAGTGACTCTCAAATTTGAGTATGCATAGAATCACCCAAAGGACTAAATAAACCAGATTGCTTACTCAGAAAGGTGAGTGGTGCCCAAGACTTTGCATTTCCTAAAAGTCCCCAAGTAAACCTGGTACTGCTGGTTGGAGGACCACACTTTAAGAACCACTACCCTAACCCTTCTCATGTTTAATTTTTTTTCCCTTCAAAGCTTCCAAAGTACAGGCTTTGAACCTAATTCAAAGAGACTGGGATTCGAGTCTTGATTCAGCCATTAGCTGCTCCCTCTTTGCAGGGTTTGGTGGGACCCTGTGTCACAAGATCCATAAAGCCCCAGCACTATGCCTTGCTCACCATGCTTACTTTAAATAGAGTATTCTAGGAGGTACCAGCAGAACTTCTGACCTGAGCTTTTCCTTTGCACAAGGACCAGAGGCTTCATCCTGATAAGGGGGATTTTATTTGGTGCCTGTGTTTTAAAAGTTCTGTGACTCTGGCTCTAAATAGGCTTTAGATACCCAGTTACAGCTGGTTATCTCTGAACTGTGCTATTTTGCTGCAGTCCTCACTGGCTTTGCCATCTCCCAGAACCCCTCTAAGGTGAGAGGGTGAGAGATCCCCAACCCCTGCTTCTGTGGAGACAGCTGGCTCAAGGGGCCCTCAGCAACACTCTTGATGTAGGGTGGAGACACCGATCACAGGTCTTGGGCTCTTCATGCTGCCAAAGTGAAGTTTATTAGCAAAATAAAAACAAAGATATCTACCACAGCTCAGACTGTGAGGCAACAGAAGGAAGCAAAAGGAGCATCCAAGACACCTTAAGGAGAGGAAGCCCAAATCCAGGGGCCAGGGCTGAGCTGCCAGACTGGAAAGCCCAACAGCAGAGAAGCACTGCCTGGTATCAGTCTCCTGTACAGCTGGCTGGGGGAGCAAGGCCTGGGGTGGCAGGCCTGCAGAGTGGAGCCAGCCAGGCTGCAGATGGTTCCCATTTCCTGATTCCTCAGGCTAAGGAGTGTGTCAGCATCGAGATGATGAACAGGTACCACAGGAGGCCCGAGGGGGCCCAGAACGGCAGGGAGAGCAGGGGGTACAGGCTGCAGGGGCTGGACAGAGGGTGCTGGCTGCTGGGGTTGCACATGGGTTGCAAGGGAGCCTGCGGAGAGAAAAAGGTGTTTGGAACACTGTATCAAAAGTGCATGAAAGACTAAAGTACACAGACACTTTCCAATTGGGAAAGCAAAGGAGAATGTAAACCTTGGAGGTCCTGCTAGGCCTAGAAAGGGGTAGCGACATGGCCAGAATTACACCAGAGGTAGGATCAGAGCTCGGGGGACCTCTGTGCAAAAAACAGCCCTTCCTGCCGCGGGCAAAGGAACAAGGGCAAAAAATGCAGAAAGGCTGGCTGGGCAACAGCAGGCCAGATGTCCACTGCCCTCCCGATTGACGCACAGGCCCCAGTCTTGTTCCTTATTGCTTCATGAGGTGTTCTGTCCACCTTACCTGTTACACAGGACAAAATGAAAGAATGGCTGCAAATGCCCTTAGCAATTTTTTTTTAACACTGAGTATGAAGAATCCCTATTATGAGAATACTTCTTCCAGAGAGAATTTAACGAAACCAAATGTGCTGAGCTCTCAGTATTTCAGCTCCCCGTGGCAGTGATTGGCATCTGGGAATGTGACGTAGTGAGCAGAATGGATGGCATGAGCTGAAAAGCTCCCACATGCCCTCCTCTACATCCAGGCAGCTCATCAAGCTTGCTGGATAGCAAATTTGTCCCCTTGACATCCCTCCTTTCAAATCCTCCCCACAAAAGGTCTGTGCTTTTACACATGACATTGGCACAAACATCAGGGTACACACTTGCAGTCCTCGCTCTCCAGAAGTTTCCGGTATGTGTTGATCTCACACTCCAACCGAGCCTTAACGTCCAGCAGCACCTGGTACTCCTGGTTCTGCCGCTCCAGGTCACCCCGGATCTCAGACAGCTGCTCCTCCACGTTGCTGATCAGGATCTGCATCTGGGCCAGCTCCGTGCCAAAACGGGCATCGGCTTCACACAGAGAGTTCTGCAGACAGTCTTTCTGTAATACCAAAGACAGAGCCAGATGGAAAATCGTGGACTGAAGCCCCCAGTCTCTCCAGTAAGACTGTGTCACCCCAAGGTGTTGCCAGGCCTGGAGAACAACCTAGCTCCTGTTAGCACTCCTCAGCTGGAGGAACTAATGACGTGCCATTGCTCATCATTGTAGACCTCAGGATAAATTTGCAGGACCTCGCTCATCTGAAGGAATGTTCATTCCCTCAGCAACCACATCTATGAGAAAGTTCTTGCAAAGGCAAAGAAGTCAGGGTTTGAACTGTGTCCTGGTCTGTACTTAAGGGAGGCAGGGACTGAACCAGGAACTGCTCTTGGGAATGGGAACCAGGCTGAGTCTTCCAGGTGTGCAGAGGAGCTCACCAGCGTGTGCTGGGCCTGAAGCTCCACCTCCAGGGCGTTCACCGTGCGTCTCAGCTCCAGGATCTCCGACTGGCAGCACCGCAGCTCCTCGGAGCAGGACATGTCCTGCTGGCTGATGCTCTCAGACTGAAACACAAGTGCACAGAGACATGATCAGCAGCCTGCCTGTGTGGAAGCCCGGGTCCCTCCCTGCTCCGAGGCAGCACCCTCACCTGATCTTGGAACCACTCCTCCACATCATTGCGGCTGGTCTGCACCATGGCCTCATAGTGGCACCTCATGTCCTCCAGCACCCTGCCCAGGTCCACGGTGGGCTCGACATCCAGCTTAATCTGGAGCTTGTCCCCCAGCTGGCACTTTAGGGTGTGGACTTCCTTTGGGGACAGGAGAAAGACATCCCACTCGTGGAACCCCCACTGTCCTCTACCCAAAGCCTCATCTCCCACTTCCCATTCTCCCCAGTGATTTCTCTGTGCTCCTCTGAGGATGGGGCACCACCTGCATTAGCCTAGCAACTTCCAGAGGCTGCAATGAAGAGCAAGTTCCCACTGAAAGCTGGAGCTTACCTCCATAGCTTGTGAGCCTTAACCATGAGGCAGGGCCTACAGAGCTTCCATCCTGAGCAGGAGGAAGAGCTTCATTTCTTCCCCCAAATGAGCCTGAACTTACCCCCAAGAAAATCTTACACAAAGGCCACGCACCTGCTCATGGTTCTTCTTAAGGCAGAGCAGCTCCTCCTTAAGGGACTCCAGCTGGGCCTCCAGGTCACACTTGGCAAGTGTGAGGTCATCCAACATCCTGCGCAGGCCGCAAATGTCAGCTTCCCCCAGCTGGCAGAGCGAGTGCTCTGTCTGGTACCTTTAGCAGGAAAGATACAGGACTCAGGGTTAGAGGGCAGAGGGGCCCCAGGATATTGGTAGCCACTCCACTGGCCATCTTTCTTCGGTCTAATTGTGAGTTGGCATTTTCTATGTGGCACACTCCCAGCCCAGAAAGCAATGGGATGTTCCCCCACTCATTTGACATTAAGCACCAATGACAAGCCGGACAAAGAAGCCAGTACTGAGGGTGCTGGGTAGACACATGTCCAGCACCTGCCCTCATGGGCTCATGGCCAAAGGGAAGGTGGCAGCAGAGTAACCTGGCAATTGCCACACCAGGTTGTGCCTACAGACCCTCATCTTCCCCCACCCCTACTGAGGCAGACTCTGGGTTCTCTCTCAGATTAGAAGCCAAAGGCCAGAATGGGAGGATGGAAATGGCTTTCTTTAGCTCCAGAGGAGTAAGGCTTCCACCGAATTTTGAAGAAAGACTATAAAACACACTGCCTCTTCCTGCTCCCAGGTTTGACCTTCTAAGGTGGCATAAACTTTTCACACATGGGTGCCTCCATCATAGACCATGAAGCATGACTTTTGTTGTGAGTTACTGGTGCTCACAAATTGGGTGGGCTTCAGTGTGGAAATATCCTCACAGAGGCAGCTGAATTTGGTAGGAAATGACCTCAGGGTAGGAAATATGAGGTCGGGTCCCAGTTCTTCCACTCAGTAGCCACATGACTTCAGGTAGGTTGCTTCAGGGCCTGGAGCTTTGTATCCTCACAAAGACAAAGACATCACTGCCCTGCCTACCTCCCCAGGTCCTTGGAACAATAGCAGCAAGTGTATGATATATTCTCAATCACGCTGTGAAGCATAAAAGCTACACAACTGAGGGGCAAAGGAATGTTCTTTCAAGATCTTGGGCATAATGCCCCCTGTTTTATCCTGCTATAACTGTCAGTTCGGGAGCTTAGTCAATTATATCTCTGATGCCAACTGTATCACAAGAGAGAAGAAATCAGAGTAGGTACCTGGCTCCTCCCTCTGCCTGTTGTACCCCAACTCACTTGGTCCTGAAGTCATCTGCAGCCAGCTTGGCATTGTCTATTTGCACAACCAGCCTGTTGTTCTCAGATTTGATGCACAGAATCTGGGGGAAAGAAAATAGGCCCGGTAATTCACTATCTCCAGAGCCATCAATGGCTTGAGTCAAAAGAAGTTCCATTGGCTGAGATTCAAATGACAACATCCTCTTGGACAACACAAACTCCCAAACACATAAGAGATGCTAGTGTGGTATAGGAGAGGGGGTGTGTATGAGGATGCTTGTCAAAGGCAAAAGGCATACAGCCAAAAGAACTGGGAAATGGAAAGGAATAGTGAACTGAACATATAACAGAGACTTAATTTTATTTTGCCAGCCATAATATTTAGCCTGATATGAACAAGATCTGAAATCTAGGCCACAGGACAATGGGCTGGTTATAAAAGGTTTAAATAAAGGCAGATGCATTCTTAATAAGAAGTCCCTTATGCCGGTTGGTCAACTTCCCCAAAGGTCTTCTGTGAATCTAGCCAGGTTTCTGTGGCCCCTACTTGACATTTTTTGTCTTCCTATCTCCAAAACTAAAATATAGGCCCTAAGGAAGCATTGCATTGATTATTAAAGGGGCCAGCAGATATGCAGAAGAGACCAATGCTACTGAATAGCCATATACTGGTTCATGAAGGGCATTAGAACATGCTGCCTTGTACTGCACCAGAAATTCGGTTGCGCTGATTTTGCAACTACAATGTTATAATTCTAAGTACTGAGACTAAGTAAACATAAATTCAGAATCCTGAATTCTACATCTCATCTTTTACATGGTCCCATTCACCTCCACTCAAGAAATTCTCTTCCCACAATAAAAAAAAATTTTTTTTCAACTGAGGCTGTGTTCACTCCCAATCCAGGCCCTTAAAATTTTGTGCAAATGTCAGTAATCTTTTTCTGTAAAGAGCAAGACAGTAAATATTTAAGGCTTTGAAGGCCATGAATCTGCTACAACTACTCAACTCTGCCATTAGATCACGAAAGCAGTCATATGCAATACACTAACAAATGAGCATGGCCGTGTGCCAATAAAACTTTATTTATAAAATCAATCAGTAGGCCAGATGAGCCATAGTTTGCCAACCCCTCATCTGGAGCACTAAAAACCTCACCTTCTGCTGGAGCTCCTCGATGGTCTGAAAGTAGGACTGGTAGTCTGGACACATGCTAGACTCGTGGCATTTGCTTGCCTCTCGGATAGTGGTCTCTAGCTCTTCATTGTCCCTCTCCAGCTGGCGCACCTTCTCCAGGTAGTTGGCCAGGCGATCATTCAGGAACTGCATGGTCACCTTCTCGTGGCCATTGGGAGCGCCTTCCCCATAGTTCTCACAGACTCCAATGTTTCCAGGAATGCTGCGGGTCCCTGGCAAGCGGCAAGCAGTGTGGCAGCTGTGGGGCATACAGAGGCTGGGTTGGCCCAGAGGGGTTGCCCCCACACGCGGTCGGTTGGCATGTGCCACGGTGGCTGACAAGCGCAGGGATGCAGCCTTGGCCTCTGAAACCTGTTTACTGAGGAGAGAACTGCAATGATGAGAAGTCATGGTACTGAAAGCCAGATGTGTGCTTTGCCCACAGTTGGATTTGCTTGAAGTGGAAGCCTTCATTCTCTTCCAGACCTTATATATGCCTGTAGTGGGTGTTGGTGCAAGAAAACAGGCATTTTCCTCATTAATATTTATGTTGATTCTTATACAATCACTCTATTAGTCAGTGATTTTTGTCTCATATAAAGAGTTAATGAGCTCATGAAAGAGGCCTTCACCCACACAGGATACTTCCCCTCATTCTAGGGTCCTAGGACACAGAGAAAATGTGTCCCACATTCTGTGGTTTAAGTCTCTTTACCCTCTGCCAGCTTATATCTGTGAGATAATTGAGAACCAGAGACATGTAAAATTCCCTCAAGATCTTTCCAACTCTAGTATTCTTTTCCTGCCTCCAAATGTTCCCATTCTGGCAAAGTCTAAAATAGTGATCAGTCAGGCACGGCACATTGAGAAAAGCAAAACAAATTATAATTAGTTTGTTTCAGCAGATGTGTATGGAGTCTCTACTGTGAGATATAGCTTAACCTGCCTGGAGGGAGGGGGTTAGATTTCAATAAGAGGAATAAGAAAATAAATGACCTTTATTATAAAGGCAATAAGAGAGGGTGCTTAAAAAAAAAGAAAGAAAAGCTATATAGATCTTAAGAAGAGAGCTCACTGAGTGGCCAGAGAAAGACTTCATAGAGCAGGGAGCATTTAATATGTGTTTTGAATGATGGTTTCCAGAAGGGACTGGAGGAGACACCATCTCTCATAGAGACCAAAATTAACAGAATCAAATGTGTCTGGAAAATGGAAAATATTATAGCTGTGCTGGCCCTTATAATGAAGACACATGCCAGTGCTGGAAAGTTGCATTTAGTCCAGGTTGTGGGAAGCCTTAAATGCCAGGGCCATCCCATATATAGTCTTCAGCTAAAGACAAATCAAAGGTAGGAATCTGCCTCTGGAAGCTGACTCTCCTCAAATATGAGGAAAAATAAATATTCCAGGTTCCTTATGAAAAGGAGATAAAAGTCTTCTGTATAAACATTAGAGGATAACATCATGCCAGAATGACAAAAAAGAAACTTAACTTCCAAATTGATTGTGGTGTCTAAAAACTTAATAGATACTTTTTAATTACCCTGATTTTTGGGTACCTGTACCCAAAATAATTACCCATGGGTCAAAGGAAACATCAGATGAGAAATTAAAGTATTTTAATCTGAATTAAAATGAATATACAAACAGATTTGGGCAATTAAGACTTTCCCTGTGCAAGCATGAGACAAATAGGCAGTTTGGAAAGTGGGGAGGGGGGACACTTAATGACTGAGACAGCATAATCTGTGATTCCCAAGAAATAAAATTATGTTTTTGTGGTTTAGAGCCTAGAGGCTAATTAAGGCGGGCAGTGATTAGTACTTTATGGTGTCTATTCTCAGGCACCTCCCCCTCCTTTCTGGCATCTTGCTTTGTAAGACACTGGTCCTCTCACCCACTGACTCCCTCTTCACCTTGTTTAAGAAGATACATACTCAAGAACTTTGATCTTTCATCTTTTGAAACTTCGTACATTTCTTTGAAATGCACCTACCTTGATTGTCCATTACTTAGCAGACTCTAAATTAAAATTTAAATTTCCTTAATCTTTAGACACACTCAGAGCATCAGAAGCTTTATGGCCTCCTCTATTCCTAAACAAGCCAGTGGCCAGTTGTTCAGTATGCCATGGAAAAGGGCAGCCAGCCAGCTTCTAGGCTATGCTAACGAAGACGCTGCTTTGACCCCATTCCTAAGATGAATGAATTCACCAGGAGGGGCCCTTGAGGCAGCAGGTACATGTTTTAGGTGGCTCTAAAACATGGAATCTGAACCAAAAGGGATCTCAAAGTCCTCCAGTCCTTTTTGGCATTAAATCCCTCCTGATAACTTTCCAATTCATTGCCCAGTCCACCACTCTCCAGAAGGCCCATCCCACCATTGGCCATCTGGGCCCCTGTAGGTCACAGTTTCCCAGGCTTTGTGCAAGATGCTTGAGTCAAGAGATAAATAATAACTAACTCTGTCTTCAGGGGCTTACAATACAGAGGACTGTGTAGAAAGTTCTTTATGCAGAGACATATCTACCTCCATGCTGTTTATGTCTATTGCTTTCATTTGTTCCTGCATTCATTCAATAAACATTGAGCGAGTACCCATTCTGTGCCAAGCAGGCTCTGAGGCTGGATGCTGGTGGTATGTTAGCAAGTAAATCAAAGAGTTTGCCTTTCATTAATTTACTTTCTAGTTCTACGCATGGGGTCCCACAGAGGATGAGTCCCTCCCACATGGCAGACCTTCAGCTCTTTGTGGCAGATTGTTCTCATCCCCCTCGCCACCCTGAGTACATTCCTCTGAATACACTCCATGGAGTCTCTACTACTTTTAAGTGAGGGCCCTAGAATGGAATTTCTGGTGAACTGAGAGATTAAGAGGCTGCCAGCAGATGACCAGCAGACCTTCTTGCCGAGGACTGTTATGTGCAGTAGGCTAGTGCCACCAACTCTTCGGCCATGATATCCACTCATCTATCAGTTGGTCCCATATACAATCCGTTAAACCCATGGAAACACTTCCCCTTAACTACTCTATGCCCAAATATGGGCAATATTCACCAAGGCAGGGTTTACCACCATCAGTGAACTTGTTCCCATGAGCTACTCCAAGTGATTCAATATTCATATAAGCTCCTCCAATACTCAGAGCCCTCTCAAGGCACCATGAGGGTTGCAATGATGGATCCTAGAATTCCCATCTCTGAAAAAAGCTTAGAGCTGAAAGAGAAATAGGTCATGTCATTCAAAAGAAAGAGAAGTCACAGAGAGAGCTGCGGGGGTGGGCGCCGGGACATCAAAGAAACTTTATCTGGATCTTGAAAGATATATAAGATTTGGACAAGCAGAGGAAAGAGAGAAAGGATTTTCTAGAAAAAAAATAAATAAGTATAGGCACACACTCAGAAACAGAACCCTATATGGTGGGCTCCAGAGAAGCAGGGGTGCAACCTCAGGAATCTGCCTCAAAAGAAACAACTTTAAATGAAACAAAAATGTAGACCTCAAGAGTCAAATTACATTTTTAAAGCCTATAAAACTGAAATTTATACTAATTTATGCTAAAAAATGTGGTCTCCTTATATTTTTATAACTTCTACACAGGTGATTCTCAAACCTCAGGCTGCATCAGAATCACCTGGAGGGCTTGCAAAAAGGCTGATTGCCAGGCCCTGTGCCAGAGTTTCTGACTCAGTAGGCTTGGGGTCAGGCCCAAGAGTCTGCATTTCTATCAAGTTCTCAGGTGATACTGAGTCTGGGGACTGGGAAGCACACTCATACTCTCTCTCTCTCTCTCTCTCTCTCTCTCTCACACACACACACACACACACACACAAACCTATATATTCAGAGTTGATACACACCATCACGTTTGACTACATACTATATGCTACCTAGTATTGTACTACATACTTCAATCCTTTCAACCACATTGCAAAGTGGTTGCCAGTATCCCATTGTAGAATAAGAAAAAGCTCAGAGCAGTTAGGTTAGCTCAGACAAGCTCACAAAAGTAGAAAAGGAAGTCTGAGAAACATTAGCTCAGGTTGGCCAGACCTTCAAGCCCAAGCTGAGGTTCCTAGTCAGCAGCCACAGACACCCATTCCCTCCACGTACTTCATTCAACCAACTGGTGCCATGTTTTTCTCTGGGCTGCACATTCGTTCAAAGAGCTGGAAGTACAGCAGGAGACAGAAGAGAGTCCTCTGGAGGTTCTGAGCAGACAAGAGAGATGACCAAAGCAGCAGTTTAGAAAAAGTAGTGCCCATAATGCACCCCGGGTTGGGAACGCTGCATCTCTAACACATACTGCAGTGCCCAGTACATAATTCATATTCAGGAACTGTTAAACGAGCCCGTGAAAGGCTGGTGGTGCGTGCAAGATAAACTTGGTACAGAAGAGGTAAGGCAGATGGAAGAGGAGGAGGCTCTTAGAAGCCCCCTGGCAGCACGTGATGAAATCCAGCAGTGCCAAAAGGAAGGAGGGATGAGGGGGCAGAGGTGTTACAAGAGGACTCTACCAAAAGACTCTACAAGGCTGAGTGATTTGATGTATATGGAGGTCAAAGGAGAGAGAGACATCAAAAGTGTCCTTCAGGTGCCTGGGCTCCTGGGACAATAATATGGTGGAAAGGGAAGCCAAGATGTCAAGGCAAAGAACTGGTTCAAGGGAGAAGATGCTGAATTTGAGTTTCGAGAATGTGAAATGTGACCCAGTGGGACTGCCTTCCAGGAGGTCCAAGGGAAAGTCTGGAGCAAGGCAAGAACAGCCCGAGTTGGTTGGACTCACTGAGATGCTCTCCTGAGTCGCTCAGATTTCACACACCTGACAAACAGGTAGAGCGGTTGAGCAAGCCCAGAGGCTCATACCTGAACAGGACAGCGATTCTCAAAGGGAGGATCCCCTCACCCTGTTGGAAAGGAGATGGCAAGGAAGATTTTTTGGTTAGAGGAAGTGTCGTTTAAAAACAAACAACCTATACTTTAAGTGAGTTGTCTTTTAGCCATGACTGGGTTTGGTATTTATATTTTTGAAAGCTAAAACAACATCAAGTGAAAAGTGAGATTTTTTTTGGTTTTTTTTTAACATTTGTTAAAGAGAAGGCATGGATGAGAAAAAAAAGTTGAAAAATACTAAACTGGATGAAAAAAGACCCAAAAAATGATTCAACAAGATGAACTCATGAAGATTCCTATAAGCGGCCAACAGAAGGGGCAGATTTGATTTTGTAAGAACTAAGAAGTTGGGAAGATGAAGGGAGGATGATGAGGGGATGGTGAGGTGGACCACAACACACAAAAATTTGTATCCAAATAAAAAATGCTCCTGTTTGGGGAAGTTTAGAATTCCATCTCGATAATTTTGGTTTCCGGGTATAAACAGTGGTGGGAGCAGAAGTGTGAGCCCTTCTCCAAAGCTTGCTCAGTGACTGCCAGCATCTGCCCCGGGGCCTGCAGCCAGCCTCCCTTATTCCTTCCATTTCCCTGGTATTTGGGAGAAATGGCATTTAAAGTTTAAAAATAAATAAATAAAACAAGCAATGAGTGGAGGAGCCTGCAGAGTCCCACCTAGCGTTATAGTGTGAAGTCTTGGAAAAAATATTACAGAGCAGCACATCGGTAGTGCAGTGTGGTAATCTGAAGACTAGTGGGCTTAGTACTTACTAGGTGGCTCAAAACTGGATCTGGCCCCAAGCCAAAGGAACAAAAGTCTCAGGGGAAAAAAAATAACCACCTGGTTGAAATTATTGTTACCAAAGCAAAACTGGATATTGCACCTAGGGTCCCTATAGTCCAATCCGTGAGGATTGGGGGATGTAGGGAGACCAGAGCACAGAATGTACAGATGAAGGAATCCGTCTGTAAGTGGAGAAGTGCTTGGGTTTTGGCACCAGAGGGCGCCCTGAGCTGTCACTCATAATTATGGGTGCTCGTAAAACCACAGTGTCCAGGCGCCCTAGGCCAGGCTGGATAGCCACCTGCCAGCCTCCCTAGGTTGCAGTCCTTGCTGTGTCCAAATAGCCTTTCCTACCACACCCAGTAGCCACCGGGGTCCCATAACTAGAGTGCCTTCACTGTGTGACCTGGCCAGGCAAGTGGGAAACAGGCCAGATTTTCATGGTCTTGTCACATGAAAAGGTTATGGCTACTTTAAGTAAAGTAAAAAACAAAACCTTCCTTATTTGTTAAAAGGAAGCCTACAAGAGCCTGCTTGCCCTTTGACAGCCCAAAGAATGCTTTTTTTTTAAATTTTGGTTAAGCCATTTGGAGTGAAACACTAAGCCCCAATAACAACAGTGATTGGTTTTCCTTATTGCTTATGGAAAAGGAGGGTGGTCCAACTTCCAGGCCACCAACGTGGAAATACATGGCCCCGATACTGTTAATAGGTTCTGCTACCACCTGTTTAGTCCCTCGTTCCTTCTAAGAGTAAAAGATTATCCCTTCTGATTCTCAGGGAGCCCCATAAACCAATATCCATTGAACACCTTCTCTTGGCCAAGAGTGCTATATGGATTATCCCTCAACAATAGTGAAGGGAAAATAATATTTTTCTAATTTTACAACTGAAAAATAGGCCTCAAGAGTGTAGTAGCCTGGCCAACTTCACTTCTCTAGTGTCACAGAGGGTGGAATTTGAGCCCAGATCGGCCCAATTCCAGAGCAAGTGCTCCTTTCCACCATACTATGCTACTATGCAGAACAACCAAATCTGCATTGGTCTTTGGACCAGGGTACACAGGTGAGCCAAAATCAGAGAGTTTCATTCTTGAACATGCTCAGCTCATGCCAGGTGCTAAATTGACTAGCATAGCAAAGAAGGTGCATGATCTCTCAGTGCTCTTCCACCATGTCTGACTGTGACCCCCTGGGCCTGGGTCCGAGCCATATCCGAGAGGTAGAGAGGCATTTGGAGAGCTCATGCCAACTGCATTTCTCACCATCGGCACCTCAAAGGGAACAGCAGAGGGGACAAGAACACTTCTCTCTGGAAAAAAAATATGTCCAGGACCCAAACAGCTGTCCCCAGTGCCCAATATAAGAGAGCAGGTGGTAATTCCACGCCTCCGTAAAAGGGCCAAATTGAATGAGAGGAAAAAAACTTGGCTACCTGGCCATGGCAGTTCTCAACATGACCTCCCTTTGGCTAGATTGGAACTCTAAGTTGTGTGATTTTGCTCTTGGACAAAATATCAAGAGGCTGAAGGTGCCAAAAGCATGGTAGGGACATGTTCATTCTGAGCTGTTCTGAAGGAATTCAAACCTGGCAAACAACACAGCTTCCTTTCACCAGTCTACAGGGATCAATGGGCAAGGTAAGTACACATCCAATGTCAGCAAAGGGCCTTCACCCAGGGGCTAAGACGCTAGGGCCCCAGAGAGATCCTGGCAACAACAAGGCATGTTGGAGCCAATGACCACCCAAGGTCTCGAAGGCCAGAGCTCTTTATCACATCACGTACATTGCCAAGCACACGAAGTATAGCACTTAGTGCAGGAAGGAGTTTTATTCACCATTTGGTACAGGAACCCAATTACATCTTAGGAGAGTTTGAAGCACTGGAGTAGAACCAAAATCCCAGAAGAGGTCCTGGGAGCAAACAATAGCTTAGGTGAACGACAATTACAGCATTGGGGGGTGGGGTGGAATGCAGCAAAGGGACACACAGGGAGCCACTGCTTAGAAGTTTCTGTCACACTTTGACTCATTGAAAATGCCTCCAGTGAGTTTGGTCTCCCTGGAAGGAAAACTAAGCAGGTGAGGGCAATCCTAGCTCCAGTGCAACCAGCCTTGACCTCCCACACTGCAACGCAGACCTTCAGAATCGGTTCTCAGTGCTGGTCCCACTGGCTTAGAGAGGGTTGCAGGTGGCAGGGGCACAGCTTGGCCCAAGGACACGGGAAGCAGCCGTAGAGCAGGGGTTGATGGGGAGTCTGCCGGGAAAGAGAGGAAGAGTTAGTCACAGGGAATAAAAAAGATGTCTCAGTGATGCAAAGGGAGGGCAAGACCAAAGGGTAAAGGACAGGTCTGCCACCAAGTCATATAGCCCAATGATATCTGTATGAACAGTTCCTCTTCCACTCTCATCTATGTCTCTCCACATCCAGGAGTCCTCTGGGGGGGACTACTATTTATGTAACAGTCCACCCATAGTATAATCTGCAGACACCAGGAAAGCTGGTGTGTCACTAAGCCTGTGTGCACAGGGAGGCTTGTTCTTTATGATGAGATCTCCTTCCACAATGACATCAGTTATTGAAGAAGAATCCCCTGATAGTCAGCTGAATGACTTGGCCAGAAATTGACCCGATTGCACCCGATTGCACCTACTTGCAATCCTCACTCTCCAGAAGTTTCCGGTACGTGGCAATCTCACACTCCAGCCGAGCCTTGACGTCCAGCAGCACCTGGTACTCCTGGTTCTGCCGCTCCAGGTCACCCCGGATCTCAGACAACTGCTCCTCCACGTTGCTGATCAGGATCTGCATCTGGGCCAGCTCCGTGCCAAAACGGGCATCGGCTTCACACAGAGAGTTCTGCAGACAGTCTTTCTGTAATACCAAAGACAGAACCAGATGGAAAATTGTGGACTGCAGCCCCCAGTCTCTCCAGTAAGACTGTGACACCCCAAGGTGTTGCCAGGCCTGGAGAACAACCTAGCTCCTATTAGCATTCCTCAGCTGGAGGAACTAATGACGTGCCATTGCTCATCATTGTAGACCTCAGGATAAATTTGCAGGACCTCGCTCATCTGAAGGAATGCTCATTCCCTCAGCAACCACATCTATGAGAAAGTTCTTGCAAAGGCAAAGAAGTCAGGGTTTGAACTGTGTCCTGGTCTGTACTTAAGGGAGGCAGGGACTGAACCAGGAACTGCTCTTGGGAATGGGAACCAGGCTGAGTCTTCCAGGTGTGCAGAGGAGCTCACCAGCGTGTGCTGGGCCTGAAGCTCCACCTCCAGGGCGTTCACCGTGCGTCTCAGCTCCAGGATCTCCGACTGGCAGCACCGCAGCTCCTCGGAGCAGGACATGTCCTGCTGGCTGATGCTCTCAGACTGAAACACAAGTGCACAGAGACATGATCAGCAGCCTGCCTGTGTGGAAGCCCGGGTCCCTCCCTGCTCCGAGGCAGCACCCTCACCTGATCTTGGAACCACTCCTCCACATCATTGCGGCTGGTCTGCACCATGGCCTCATAGTGGCACCTCATGTCCTCCAGCACCCTGCCCAGGTCCACGGTGGGCTCAACATCCAGCTTAATCTGGAGCTTGTCCCCCAGCTGGCCCCTCAGAATGCTCACTTCCTGTAGGAACAGAAAGATCCACACCCTGAGTGAGGAAAGGCTTTTTGACAGAGCAGATGACACCTGAACCCCTCCCCAAACAAGCAGCATGAGAGGCGACCCCACTCATGCACTGACATGAGAGGTCTTGCCCATGGTCCACGGGGAGAATCCATTTGGACACCTTCCTAAATAGACAAGGCAAATCTTTACAGACCAGAAACTCCCCCTCTGCCACATCCCATACAATCAGTCTGACTGCCAGACCTGGATCAACCCTTCATCCTGATGCCAAGTGAACCCCAGGTTTAACCCTAGAGCCCCAGGGTGAGCAGTGCTCCCTTTCCTGGCCAGTGCCCTCCCCATGGGTCTGCATCCCCAGGACCACACCTGTTCGTGGTTCCTCTTGAGGCAGAGCAGCTCCTCCTTCAGGGACTCCTGCTGGGCCTCCAGGTCAGCCTTGGCCAGGCTCAGGTCATCCATGAGCTTGTGCATCCCACACATGTCCGCCTCTACCACCTGGCGCAGGGAGAGCTCACTCTCGTGTCTTCCAGCACAGGAGATGCAAGGTTAGTAGGATGCCAAAGACAGCCTCTCTCAGCTATCCCTTGTTCCCACCTACTTGGATCCTCATTTCTTCAATTAATCAACATTCACCATGTTAGATCCTGTACTACAGAGCTCATGGTCAGGACAAATATCATTATGCCCATTGGATGGGACTGAATGGGAAACTGAGGCTCAAAAAGAATAAATAGATTATGCAGGATTGTATACCTGCATAATAGTTAATAGTAAATACATAATAAATATGTATTTAAATAAAATAGTAAATACATGGATTCAACCAAAGTATTCAAACTTCAATGAAGTGTTCATTCTGCTATAAAAGAGCCATTTAGCCAGGAAAAAGAATGGCTTAAAATAAGCCTTCTGGACCTACAGTTTGCTGGTTTACCCCATGGATTGATTATTTCACATGATTTTTATGCCTTCCTCATTTATTTAATTGCAACTCTACCAAGGACCTACAGTGACAATTCCTCACACTGATAAATTTGGCCAAGAGTCAGCACATCTGTCAACAACCAATGCACTGAAAGTTTATTCTTGCAATGACTTGATTTTGTTTCTGGCTATCTAACACAAAGCTCTCTTTTCTTCTAGATGTGGGGAGAAAATGACATAGAACCTGACCAATCTAGATGATTCTTCCTCTTTCTGTTTCAATGCTTTTGTTCTCTTTTTCCTATATAAGGACCATTTCTAGTAATAGGTTAAAGTTGGTTTGGAAAGGAAGAAAGTGAACACCTATGTAATGATCTATTCATGCTTCTAGTCAGCAACAATTTTCAAACACCTACTTTGGGCCAGTACCATGATGGGCAGCTAGAAATAGAACAGATAAAAGGAGTCACTTTGAACTCTCTTCCAGCCCGACTTACTTGATTCTAAAGTCATCAGCAGCCAGCTTGGCATTGTCAATTTGGATAACCATTCTGGTATTCTCAGCCTTGCTACACAGGATCTGAGGAAAACCAGGAAGACAGTTCATACACAAAACATCATAACCTGGGCCCCAGCTCTACAGGTGGCAGTACACTCACACTCAAGGGAATCCAAGAACCCAAAGCTCCCTGAACCTTCAGTGGCTTCTTGCCTGCTAGGCCCTACCACCTTCCTCAGACCCAGCACCTCCCAAGCTACTCCAAACCTCACCTTCTGCTGGAGCTCCTTGATGGTCTGAAAGTAGGACTGGTAGTCTGGACACACAGTGGACTCATGGCATTTGCTTGACTCTCGGATCTTGGTCTCCAGCTCCTCATTGTCCCTCTCCAGCTGGCGCACCTTCTCCAGGTAGTTGGCCAGGCGATCATTCAGGAACTGCATGGTCACCTTCTCATGGCCATTGGGAGCGCCTTCCCCATAGTTCTCACAGACTCCAATGTTGCCAGGAATGTTGCGGGTCCCTGGCAAGGGGCAAGCAGTTTGGCAGCTGTGGGGCATACAGAGGCTGGGTTGGCCCAGAGGGGTTGCCCCAACACGCGGTCGGTTGGCATGTGCGATGGTGGCCAACAGACACAGAGATGCAGCGTTGCCCTCTGACCCAGGCTGGCCTCCAATGTCAGTGCAGGGGCCACAGACATTTGTTGCTGTAGGCATCTTGGTGCTGCCCAGACAGTGGGATGAGTTGATGTAGCAGGAAGTCATGGTGTTGGGCTGAGGGTGCACAGAAGGTTCAGAGCAGCTGGGAAGGCCAAGCCACTAAGTGTGACAATCCCCTATCCTCCTGAGCCTTTTATACCCCATCCCAGGTGGGTGTTGGCTCCATGCTTTGACCTCAGGGCCTTGATTCTCTACCTATTGTTGTACCGTCATCCTGTTACTCAGCTGTTGAGTTTACCATTAAGAGTTCCTCACCTCATTAAAGGAATGTTGATGAAGTTGAGGTGCCCTTTGCTTTTTGATATTAGTTGTCTATTGAGGAAAGGTCAGAGATTTATATTACTACTTAACAATCACTAGCAGTTAATTCAACTGCCAGATGTCCTCTTTCTGGACTGGGCCAGTGTCTCTGTGCATTTGGCCACACTTAAGGATTAAATCTTTTGGTCAGTGATTGTGTAGCAGGAGGGACAACGAATCTATCACCTGTGCTTAGACTCATCCAGCCTTTCCTTTGTTTTGGGGGGTTTTGTTAAGATTTATTTGTTTATTTATTTGTTATTTATTTATTTATTTGAGAGACACAGAGAGAGAGGCAGAGACACAGGCAGAGGGAGAAGCAGGCTCCCTACAGGGAGCCTGATACAGGACTTGATCCCAGGACCCCGGAATCACAACCTGAGCCAAAGGCAGATGCTCAACCACTGAGCCACACAGGTGCCCCCACACAGTGTTTCCTTTGAACAGAAACACCAGTTTATAAAACTGGTAAGTCTACAGATAATTATTGTCAAGTCCCATTTCTTCTTTCTTCTCTCCTTTATACTGCACACTCCCCTTGAGAAGCTTTAAAGCATCAATGCATCCAGAATCTTTTGCGCTAGCTAAGTTTTGGTTGACTAGTCAGAATTCATTTTCAATCATTCACCTGTTCAGCATGTTTCCAGAACATCCCCTAGAACTCGAGGAGTGTGCTGGTTCTTGAATATGCAATGGCCCCTGTTCATCAGGAGAAAACAGTACCCCAGAAATCTCAGGATGTCTTAAACAAACTTGAATGAGAGCCATAGACCAAAGAGTTGGTGAAGGAGAGGATCCATGGTCCTGACCAAGGATGTATCTAGAGAGAAGCTACTGACAAACAAACAAAAAACTTTATTTGATCTAGAAAAAGGAACTGGGACCAGAGTTCAAGGGATATTTAAAGAAAACTTCAAGAACCAACATTTATGAGGGTGTAAGGTGTAACAGCTATTGTATAGTATTCTTTCCTACTTAATCCTTACTACTGGGAGGCAGCTAGACATATCCTGGGCATGCAAATGAAGAAACTAAAGTCCATCTTCTGATTCACAGAGGAATAAATTGGCAAGAGCTTGATTCAGTCTCATGTCTATAGAGTCCATTCATTTTCTTGCCACACCGCCATGACCCCCAGTTAGAACAACCTGTGTGCTGCCTGCCTGTGCTGTTGCTTTGTTACAGGAGACTTAGTTGTCGGCAAGAAGCTGAGTGAAAAGAAATAAAATATCTGGGGGCACCTGGGTGGCTCAGTGGTTGAGCATCTGCTTTTGGCTCAGGTCGTGATCACGCGGTCCTGGAATCGAGTCCCACATGGGGTTCCCGGCAGAGAGCCTGCTTCTCCCTCTGCCTATGTCTGTCTCTGTGTGTATGTGTCTCATGAATAAATAAATAAAATCTTAAAAAAAGAAATAAAATATCTGAAGGTCTTTGCATTCTAGCAAGAGAAGATGTTTAGACACGGAACAGAGAGGACAAAAAAAAATTGCACATAGAAAAGTCATACTCAAAATCAAGTCCAAAATAGACCTCACATCCTGGAGATTTTTGTTAGAGCCAAGGGACCAAAGCAACCATGTGCTGTGGGGTCAGGAGTTGCCCTTCCAGAGTGCTGGAAGGAAAGTAGAGGGACCCATAGACAGAGGAAAAGCTAATCAGATAACACCCCAGAAGAGTATAATTAGGTGTCTTCTCTAATCTCTAAATTCAAGAACAACTTTCTCCAAGAAAACCAAATGGGAGGCAGTGGATGTGAGTATTGGTAAAACCTGGGCTCTTAGAATTCTCTCAAAAAGAAATAAAGAAATCTGGCATTCTTCCTAAAGAGAAAACCCACTCTGGGGTCGGTGCCAGTTACCCTGAGGTCACCACTGACCCCTTACAAACACTGTAATTAGAAGACATCACCAGACCTGGCCTTCTCATCCTTCAGAGGCCTCTGGGTGCAATCTGCATATGTTGCATCTTCAAACACCCCTTTATTTCTCTCTTGCCTCATCATCATGCATCACTTTAATCCAGAGAATTGGACCATTACAATCATTTCCTTTGATTTGCTAAGTAGGTTCCACCTTTTGGCTCTATCCCCTGGCAGGATTTGTCCTCTTGACTGAAATTATGGTTCCTTCCATCTCAGGACACACACCACTTATTACTTCTTAGGCTTCACAACTGGAGTGTTGATGCCCTCACTGACATCCCTCTCTAAAGCCCTGACTTGGGCTCAGCATGATCTGTTCTGCATAATGACACTGATGCCACCTGTTGCTCTTAAAGAAGTGGATTCTGCTGATTTTCTTTTGTCTCAAAGGAACTGGCAGGAAGTGGAAGGCATGAGGCAGGTGTTTGAGACACACTCTGCTGTGCCAGCTGGGAAGGAGCCCATCCTTGACATCCCAGGCTGCCTTCTTTCACCCCCTATAAAGGGTCCCTGGCCCCTGAGAACAACGTACAAGCCAGGTTGCCTTAAAGAAGTCCTGGAGATGAAGCATGAAGAGAGATGAACTCCAGTAGCCCTCCATTCACAGGGGACCTCGCATCTCTTCTGGAGTCAAAGTTTTGGATTTGCAGTTTGTCTTCAGGGGAGGTGGGACACTAAGTCCAGAACAGTATCATTCAATGCCATGATATTGGGACCTACTGAGACAATTCTGTGTGAAGAAGAAAGCAGTGAAGTCAGAGTAGCCCATGGGATTCGGGTCTGGTCTGCAGCCATTTCACCTGTTGCAAGGGGGAGATTCTGAGAGTGTCTAAGAAAGCAGGCACTGTCCACACACAGCGTCCACTGCGTGTGTTGCACCAGGAAGAGGTTGACAGACCACAACAGGTGACCCCTCCTGGCACAGCTGTGCCTGTACACCCTCAGATGCTCTGGGCAAGGAGACACAACTGACATCCTCAGGGTTCTTTGTGATCTCAAGAGTCCACGTTGAGAAGCTTTGAAAAAGACAGAAAGCTGACATCATCTTCTCTATTAGGTGGGATTTTATGATATGATTTCTTAGAAATCTTTAGTCTGATTTTAAGGGTCTTTATTAGTAGTAGTCTGCTTTATTCTTGACTCAGGTCTCTAGGTCATCAGAGACTAGCTGACAAAAACAATTGTCTGCACTTCCTCGTTCCATCATCCTCTGATGCCAGGGTTCCTTTATCCACATTCTAGGGCAGCACATTTGACCTTGTTTGTCTCCTACCCAGGCCCATTACAAAGCCTTTAATGTAGGATAGTAGCATGGTGAAAGCCAAGAACTCTGGAGCCAGCCTGCCTGGATTGAGTATCGGGTTCTGTGAAAACTTGGCCTGGTGGCTTGACCTCTCTGTGCTGTGGTTTCCACACATGCAAAATAGAAGCAGTCATAGCATCTAGCTCATAGATTTGTTTTAATTGTTAAAGAATCTGATATTTAATATTTAAATGATCTGTAAATCATTTAAAATAATGTCCAGCACATGGCACAGGAAACACTATAAATAAGTGTTAGCTGGGTTTTTTTCAAGTGGCCTTTAATCATCGGTTTAGATGCACACATCATTTAAAATTCAAAAATGCTTATTAAATTACCCTTTTGTACCTATTTAAATTAGCAAAGATCAAAAAGGTTAATGTCACGATGTTGGCAAAGTATAGAAAAAACAGGTATTGTCAAACACTGTAGAAGGAGGGGGCAGTAAATCATGCAGCCTCTTTGAGGCAGTTTAGCAGCACTTATGCAAATGAGCGCTGCCCATACTCGATGACCCAATAATTCCACTTCCAGAAATTATCCCAGACGCACTTACATAGACACATGTACAAGGATAATAAAAATATTTATTGCAATATCTAGGAAGTCATGGCAGACTCAAGAGAAATGGGACACTCACCAAAAGAAACCTGGTTAAGTGCATCGTAGTACATGCATATAGTGAAAAAGTTTGCAGCCCCTGCAAAGATTGAGGTAGGTATAGATAGATTAATATAGATATACTAACATAGAAATGGCACCTACAGTGTAAGTTTCAGTGAAGAAAGGGCCAAATGCGGAACGAGATGCCTGGTAGGCTACTTTTTATATTTACCCAAAGGGGGGGTCTATCTGGGCTTACATTTATGGGAAGAAGGAATCTCAGACCTTAAAGTCAGGTGTGAAAAATATACAACTTTATTTCCTTGTGTTTGAACTAAATTGTATTTTCAATCTTCATTCCACACACCGGCTGGCAGAACCTTTTTTTTTAATAATAAATTAATTTTTTATTGGTGTTCAATTTGCCAACGTACAGAGTAACACCCAGTGCTCATCCCGTCAAGTGCCCCCCTCAGTGCCCGTCACCCATTCACCCCCACCCCCTGCCCTCCTCCCCTTCCACCACCACCCCTGGTTCGTTTCCCAGAGTTAGGAATCTTCATGTTCTGTCTCCCTTTCTGATATTTCCTACCCATTTCTTCTCCCTTCCCTTCTATTCCTTTTCACTATTATTTATATTCCCCAAATGAATGAGTCCATGTAATGTTTGTCCTTCTCCGATTGACTTATTTCACTCAGCATAATACCCTCCAGGTCCCTCCACGTTGAAGCAAATGGTGGGTATTTGTCGTTTCTAATGGCTGAGTAATTTTCCATTGTATACATAGACCACATCTTCTTTATCCATTCATCTTTCGATGGACACCGAGGCTCCTTCCACAGTTTGGCCATTGTGGACATTGCTGCTATAAACATCGGGGTGCAGGTGTCCCGGCGTTTCATTGCATCTGCATCTTTGGGGTAAATCCCCAGCAGTGCAATTGCTGGGCCGTAGGGCAGGTCTATTTTTAACTCTTTGAGGAACCTCC